ATGTGGTTGAGTGTCGCGAACAGTGGCGCTCGTGCATCCACTCAACATTCTTGCAACCCCAGTCTATATCAATTTTCTACCTCCCCCCTGAATTCGCTCTTTACATTTCGATTTTTATTTTGTTCTTCTATCCAAATGGGCGGCCAAAAGACAGCAATCAAAACTGGCGAACGAAAGTGCATGGCTAAAGGTTGTAAAAACTGAAACTGATGGAATTTGTGCAAGCTCAAAAATTGTTCCACTGATCAGATAATAAACATGTGGAAGAACATGTGACACCTGGACACAGACGGACGTAGACGTTTCAAACAAAGGCGGTCATATTAAGCAGTGCAATGTTTACGGGAGTAAACTCTGAAACAGGACTAACTCAGATATGAAGCCATCAAGAATGCGGCCCAGTAGGGGAAATACTTGAGCAGTCAAACCGTTCTGAACGACTAAAAACGAGTGAATACCTTAGCTGGTGCAGTGGCAGAAGTTACATTCTCCTCTGTAGGGCGAGCTTTGCGATAAGCCAAGCAAGGCAGAGCGACGACAGGAATCTGATGATGACGAACACTGCCTGGACCCACAGAATAGGGTCGGGACAGGGTGACAACACGCGTAGCTCGATGCAAGTAAATGACAAGTCCAGATATGTGTCGCAAACGTATCCAACCCTCGGGAAGTAGGCCGAAGTCGATAGAATCCACATAATCTGTAGCAGAAAAGGAATGCAGAAGGGTCATTTATTCTTGATGTTCTTTGATCTAACAGTTACTAGTGGTTGCCTTTCTGATTAGTACAACCATCAAACTACCTACTTGGTGATCGATACAAATAATTGAAAAACATGGAACTTAGTTCCTGTTTAGAAAAAACACCAGCTGCATGATTATAATAGCTTGAATGAACGTGTTGCAGAGGAAAATTTGATGCAAACAGCGCCAGAAAAAATAATACCTAGGGATATAAACTCCTTCTATTCACGGAATAGATGATTCGCTTCACTAAAAACGATATGTATTAGGATAAACAAAATGAAGATGTTTGATGTGAACCAAACACGGGGTCACTTTTATCACATCTGTGTTGGAGTGATGAAACACGTAAGGCTCCACTGGCTTAGGGTTGGTATTGAGTCGGAACACAGCTGTTTGCAATCGAAGTTCGGTTGTGGTGCCGGGCTTCCACCCCCATTCTCTAAGGCCCAAATAACGCCGGGAACAGTGATTTAAACTGTTTGACCAACACCACCACTACCGGATTTGAAAATTCCAATCTTCCTTTTACTCCCTCATCCAAATGGGAAACCATGAGACGGCAACCGAAACCGGCGCACGAACAAGCATGGTCAATGGTTGTAAAAACTTAACTTTAAACCACCCGAAATACAGCATATCCGTGTTTATGGTAATAAATTGGACTATGAGCAGTTAACTTACCGCTAATAGATATTGATCTGCGTACAGAATAACAACAACAAAAACAATGCAATTACACTGTACTAACCTAGTGTTAAGACTCAAACCTCAAAAAAGATAAGTCTGTGAAAAAAATAAGCCCTTGCAGGAAAAAAACAAATTACGATGGGAAAAATGAATGAGAACCCTTTAAAACGTACCGTTTATGATGACATGTGAGTTTTTGACATTTTCACTTTTTCGCGGTTTAACTGGTTGAGACTCCTGGACCAAAGAATCACAGTATTCAGGTTGCAGGTGACGCTGCTCTGACACATCGCTGGTTAGGACCTCCTGTGGACGGTATGCGAATTATAATGTAAATGTGTTAAAAAGAGGGAGGTAGATTACGACCTCTACGCAGCATTTAGTTAACTGCCGTCTTGCTAAAACAGTGGGCGACCGCGGATACCTGAAGCTCTGCGCTTTACCTGAGCAATGCTCGTCCGGCTGCCCCACCAGCTTCGTGCAATGCTGCATAGTCAGCGGTGTTCAAACAGCGACAGTCTATCTTTATCCTGCCTCCTTAATGGCCAAGTTTATGCACCTCATGGCATAACTAGTCGAACTTATGCGGCATACAGTCGACCCTTCACAGACAGCCGGATATCACGGCGGCGCCACGGTTGTCTGAGGTTGGCGAACGCCAATCGAGCCTTCTGTATGGGAGCTGACACTTCATCCGTGATGCGTCCACCGGGTGAGACATAGCTGCCCGAATAGCGAAACTTTTCCGCCCGCCCTATTACTTCCCTACTTAGAGTGAGGTTGGGTGCTGAATCAACCCAGTCTTGTAGCAACAGTTTACACTTTGCAGGTTCAAAACGAATGCCGAAAATAACTACACTAACACTCAAAAAATCCAGAAAAGCTTGCAACTTACTTGGTTCTTCATTCAGCAGTACAATGTCATCTGCATATTCCAGATCAGACGGTCTGCCAACTGGGAGTAAACCGATATCGCTGTCCTCGCACGAGGATACCAAAGTTAAATAGAAACACCAGTTTCTGTAGTGAACTCGGGTGTAAAACTGCCGTATGCTCGGATTCAACTTCGGCTATTAGTATACAGAGATCGTAATATTGCAGTAAACTTCTCGAGCACACCCTTCGGGGAAAGGCAGCGCCAGAGCTTAGAGCGGTCGACTCAGTTGAAAGACGCCTTAAGATCAAAGAACACATAGATAGTAGGTCAGCGAAAAGAATGTCGGTGATCCAGAGTTTGGCGAAGAGTGAAGATATGGTTGATACGACCTCGACCGATTCTAAAACCAGTTTGATTTTCGCGCGCGTACCCCACGTGCGGTAGACAATCGACGGAGTATGCTGCCAGTAAGAAGGTTAGAAACAATTTTGATTAACCTAATTCGTCTGTGGTTTTGACAAGAGGATCTGTCACCTTTCTTGCAAACCGGTGAGATGCCAAATTCGCACCGTCCCGTTGGGATTTATTCCATCTATCACACTGATCCCAGAAGTTTCGTTAACTCTAAAACCAAGGCTGAACCTCCATCCTTAAATGCCGACGGGAACAACCCATCCGAGCCGGAGGCCTTATGCCTTTTGAGATAACTTGTTTCCCGAGAAATCTCCATTTCGGATGGAATACTGGCAAGTATCAGGACGGAGCTTAAGCAAACGGCCCGATTGCGCAAGCCTCTGAGTCAGGTCACATGCACGCTCGCAACGCTCCAGACAGGCTGAGCCCGATTGGATGATCACCGTACAAATCAGCCAATGTTTGTCCAATCGATCAGTCGATATGTCAAGGACGCAATCAGACTGATGCGTCACTCCGCCGTTCTCGTATGCGT